GACTTTTATTTAGCAAATTTAATGGGCTACAATTCTTCCATACATCATTTTTATGTAAGTCTTATAGTTCAGGCTACGTAAGCAAAGAAAGCAAAAATGACCCGAAATTTCGTCGCGCCATTTTGAGCTGAACTATTTAACTACGTCGTAGTCTTAGACTCCAAAAATTAAACAAAAAAATGGGACCCACCTGCAAGCATTACCTTTCGGATAAAAAATGAATTATCAAAATCGGTCCACTAGCGGCGGAGTTATACCGTAACACACATAAAAAAAAATAAAAAAAAAAACATACAGACGAATTGAGTACCTCCTTCTTTTGGGAAGTCGGTCAAAAAAGTAATGGACGTTGGTCTTTAGAAAGCTAAGTATCATAAGCTATATTTATTTCTAGAAGTTTTTAAATGTACGCGGACGAAGTCGCGGGAAGAAGTAATGCTTGATATGAATAACTTTATACTAAATCAAAAAGTACAACTGCATGTTCCCAAAAAATATTTTACTTTACCCATGGTCGGATAAAAAAAATTTGCCTTGGACTTTACTAAATGAATATTTAAATATATTATCATAACATTTCGGAAAAAGTAAAATATTTCAAGTATAAAAAAACCTTCAAAGAACAATAATCTTTGCGCATGTAACGAAGTGTGTGTATTTCTCACCTCAAAGGACATTAAATAAACTGCGAGCTTAGCTGACGGTCGACTGGACACTGGCAAGGCAAGTAAGTGAAACAAGTTTCATTTTAAATATTTTTCAATCAACAAAAAAATCTGACAAACAAATCACAATTGGAATTGTTACAATTTTAAGACAGAATTGTGGTATAGTTTTTCACGTTTTTGTTCAGAAAACGACATAATCCTTTTCTTAAATAAATATACAATACACAACCAAATACAGAGTAATAATAATAAATTTAAAGAACAAATAAATATATTTATTAAACAAAACATTAATCATATTTGTATCGACATTTCAACAATATAAAAAGACAAGTACACTTTAACCTACGTAGTTGGAACCTACTATTTTGGAATGCAAATACGTCCAACAAGCTTGTAATCCATTGGGCAAATTGAATGCGATTTTATAAACGATTTTGATTTTCTGGAGCTGTCAGTTGTTTTATAGCCATCGGTATTATTACCAATCTTGCCTTGATTGTCCGTCGCTTCTAGATTATTTTCGTTCTTTGATATATCTTCAGAATTAGTTGTAATTAACATATAGATAAGTATAGCTATAATTACTTGAAACTTCATTCTCTCCGATTTTTTAGTTGATTTAACTAAATAACGTTCATCTGAAAAATAAAACGCGCAATTTTATTATCTTGGATTCGCTGCCGAATACTATCAAGGAATTTAGCGATGAGCCGATTCAAAAGGTACATATTGAGACGTCGTAGAACAATAGGACGCAAACTTTTAATGTCTGTATGAAAAAAATCGGTGATGCACTATTCTTTTTTTATTATTGTCCCAGGCGCAACTGCCTAATTGGTTATTTGTAAAAAGAGGCAGAGCTTCTCTTACAAGGAAGAAGGCAATTTTTTGTAAGTGGCACACCGCGAAGAGCCCTGACTGTACATTTTATCACCCCTCTGGTTTGCTTTAAATGAACTGTTATAAAAATGGTGTTGTCACAGTGGAAACGTATGTTGAGAAACGTAATTTCAAATATGTAGCTGACTGGATAGTAAAGTTTTCAGTAGATTTACTCCTCACATTAACAAATCCGTACAGTAAAGTTCTATTAAAGTAACGGATATTTAAAAAGATGTTGTTGTCTCTATTTTGTTTATAGAAAATGAAGGAGATAGCCGCATGCCTTTGTTCAAGCGTTTCCACAAAGGAAATCTACGGTTACAATAAAGTTTGTTTACGCTATTAACAAGTGCCGTGCTGTTAAAATCAAAGATGTTTTAAGTAATCACAAAAGATGGAAAAACACGTGATAAATAATGCTTTTTTACTTGCGGTTGTATATTTATAGTATGATAAAAGATTTAATAAAATGCATTTAATGTTAGAGCACAATGTGATCAGGAGGAAGGGACACACTACCTACTAGCCCCCTAGAGTATTGACAAAATATAAAAGAGATAAAAAAAACAAAGTTGAATATGAATCTACAGAAAAATAAAATAAAAACTCTTGTTTTTAATTTTATTGATTAAAAATATTGTTCCATGTCGATTTTTAAAATTAAATAGACTAACCTGTAACATTCGGTAAACAATTTATAATTTTTCACAACCATTTCTTGCATATATTCACATTTATGTATTATTAAAATACGTCCGTACTTAACATAAATTTTGTTTAAATAAATAGCTCGTTGATTACTTTACTTTGACATTTCAATCTTCGCCAGCAGTTTTATTGACGATTTTGTTTATCCGACATTCGTTACAATGAGGTCAAATGAAGAGTTTAGTTTGATAAGTTTAAATGTTTTTACAAAACACGATAATACTCTTAAACAATGGCACCTACGTAGACTATCGTAAGTCGCAATTTTAAGTTTTACACTTTATTTGATGTTCCTTTTTTAAATTAACTTGGTGTATTCTAATTTATTTGTAATTTCGATACTAACCTTAGAACTCGAACTGTTTTGATTGCCAATCGTGTGTTTAATTCATATGTTCATCCTAATTAATCGTGGTAGAGCCCGCTTTAACATCTTCGCACGAATAGGTCGGCTCGCCCGGTGTAATACCACGACCACACAGAAGACAGGCGTGAAGTGGAAGCAGTTCCGCGTTCGTCTGATGAGTGTGGTGTCAAAAGCATGATTTTAGTCTGTTTTCCTTTCCACTTTTTTCTTAAGAGGAAAGGATGGAAAGGAAAAGTTGATTTGACGGAGGAGGAGACGCATATGAAGGGGAAATCTCCTCTTAATGTGCGTCTCCTCCTCCGTCAATTGAGGGAAAGCAACGCATCTGCATTTGCGGATGTTTATGGGCAGCGGTCGTTTTCCATTTCGGTGGAATCAGGTGGCCGCTTGCTCGTTTGCCACCTTATATTATAAAAAAAATCGTATTCATGTTAAATGTTTTGTTTTGAAAAAATTCCTTTTCAAACATAGTGTATTTACATAGGAGCAATTTATGTGATTGTAGTAAACAATGGTTTTTCCGAGTATTGGTAATAAAAACAAACCAAAATTACCATCGTAGTAACAACGTACGTAAGTTAGGTATAAAGAACGCCATCTATTGTTAAGAAAACGCAATACATTTGAAAAATCTATACATATAATACAATAGAAGTGTCTGTTCGAAAAGAAAAATCCATATTTCGGGAAGATGATGTATTTGCGTTGCTGATAACGAACGTCGCATTTAAAAATGTTTTGTCTGTCTGTCTGTCAGCAAACCGCGTTTGTTCCGGTTAATCTGTACCGATTTCGACCGTACTTTCACTAAAAGGTAGCTAATATAGACGGAAGTATTATAAGCTACTTTTTTATTTTAACATTGCGTAGACAAAGTCGCAGGCAACAGATACTACTTATTATTTATATATCCGGGTCCTTAAGATAAGTTGAATATATGTTTAAAAGGTTTAATATTTATTCTCTCAATATAACTTGTTCAGACGATGTTATTTGTGTCATGGAAACTTATGCATAATAATATAGTGAAATGACCATTTAGTCATATTTTATACGTTCCAAGTACCGTTCATCTGTATGCAATAAAACTTTGTCGGTTTATTGCACTAACACGGTCATTATTTATAATCTTACGATCGTTTAAATAATATTAGGGATACGGCAGACATTAAAAACTATTTAACTACGTCGTAGTCTTAGACTCCAAAAATTAAACAAAAAAATGGGACCCACCTGCAAGCATTACCTTTCGGATAAAAAAAGAATTATCCAAATCGGTCCACTAGCGGCGGAGTTATGCCGTAACACACATAAAAAAAAAAAACATATCGTCAAATTGAATACCTCCTTCTTTTGGGAAGTCGGTCAAAAAATGTATAGACGAGGCATAATGTGCAAATATTTTTACCGCTATAGTGAATTCCAAGTTCCAAGTAAAGTGACAACTATGGCTCCTCTATATTTATTTTTAATCTCTTTGGGATACGGACAACAGACAACCGGATCTAGTATTCGATTTATTAGTTTCAATTATATATGGAAATTGTTACTACAAATATTACTATACTTTTAATAATTATTAATATCTTTACAAAATAGTTATCGTGTTTCAGTACAATAATTCTATACATTATTAATCAGGCGAAAATTATGAATATATCGCATGAAATGTAGAGATCGGTTATTGGGCTTGGGCTTCGCTCAATACCTTGACAATACGTTTTACTTTGTTGCGTTGTAACCGCCTGTCTAAACATTACAATACAAGCAATTTCACACATATTAAATGTATGGTGACAGTGTGAAGAATAACATACATTTAACAAGACTTGAGTACAGTACTGTTCAAATGCTTTTATCTCATACCTGTATGATTAAATACAGAATGGAAAGATTTTACATCTATTGTAAAACATTTAAAGCACATGTAAAACAAATGAAAATAAAAAAAATATTTATTTATTTATTTTCATTTGTTTATAAAAACATACAGTAGAATTCTACATTACATTTTAAATTTGTGCAAATATTACACATTGAAATTTAACTATTCCTTTATGACAGGCGCTTACTTCTTTAAAAAAAAGAAATTTTATTTTTCAGAATGAAATCTATAACAGGTCATCCTTTGATCGTAGTAACTGAAGAAGATGTGAAGATATCGCGGTCATTGTGCGGAGTTGAAAAACCAGAACGAATAAAAGAGAGCTTAGATGCTATCGATGAATGGTGTAAGAAACAAGATCATCTTGTCGAAGCTTATAAGAATTTAGGTGAGTTTTTAGTCACCGTCCAAAACAAGTGAAATATGTTCACAATTTTCTCGCAGCCCTAAATTATCTTTACCTTCTCACGTAAAAATTATAACTATTTTCTTATCAAAAATCTAAGTTTAAAACAACTATCAGTGTTTGCCAATTTTATCATCCATTGTTTTATTAAACAAAGAACCATTTTTAAACGTCAGCCGACAAAAACGTCTATTTCCTTTCTAATTTTTTCTACTGTTTGTCATTAGTCATCTTCAGTGAAAGACTCATTTTTGTTTCTATCAGCCGTCATATCTGAATCCACTCCTTTCTTAAGCATATCCTCTTTCACACAATCCATCCATACTTTCTTCGGTCTTCCTCTGCCTTTGTAGCCATCCAAAAGAAGAGGAAGACCAAACGATCAAAGCCTACTTATAACCATCAAAATTGGACTGTCAATAAAACACAAAATCCTATTAGCAATAACTCAAATTGCCATTTTAAATATCAAATTTTCGCCTTAATGTCTTATATTTAATACTAATAATTGTATAATTAAATGACTCTATATATCAATATGTTTGCAAATATATACATTTATCTATAACAAGATATACATTTAACAAGACATTTTCCTGTTAACCGTGATTATTAACTCTTATTAAAATGCCATTATGTTATCATTAAATAGCATTATAATACATTGCATTACATATATATTTATGTGAAATTATATGTCATATTATTATAGCAAGCTTATTTATATTAGAAACAATAGAAAGAGAGTGCGTAAAAAAGAGAAAACTGATTTTACAATTTATAGACAAAGATCCAGTGGTTGACAGACTTACATCGTTACATCAAGTTGACAACAGAAAGTCCCAATTTGATAACTGGACAGCCCAAATTTGTAAAAAGACAATACAAAAGACTTCGTATTCACGAAATTATTTTCGTTTCAGATCGTAACATGCTGGAGAGATTATTTTTATTAGCGCGTGGATCAGTAGAAGCCACAAAAATTAGACTCGATAAGATACTAACCTCTCGAGGAATGATGCCCGAACTTGTGTTAAACAGAACTATAGAAGAATTCGACGAACTATTACAAAGCGTGTAAGTAAATTATTACGAATATTGCAAAATAATGACTGATTTTATAGTCTAAACTTATGTTATAAAGAGGTACCTTTTGTATTTCTGTATGAATTGAAATAACTACTGGGCGTATTTTAAAAATTCTTTCACCGTTAGAAAGGTAATTTTTCTGTGATTAATACAGACTATACCTTTTCGTTATTTTTAAATTTAACGCGGACGAATTCGCAAGCAACAGATAGTTATTTATAAGAATGTAGATAAAAACAGTTATTATTAATTAACGGTGTGGTACCCGGGGTACAGAAATTTACTTCTACATTTCTATTACTTTCATTGCTACTGTTAAAAGATGACTCTGTGCTCTTATTTAACACTGGCTTTTGCCCGCGACGCCGTCCGCGTGAAATTTAAAAATAACAATAAAGAAATGTAATAATATAGCCAATACTACTCAAAGATAAATGACCTTTCTAACGGTGAAAGAATTTTGAAAATGCGCCCAGTCGTTTTTGAGCCTATTCATTACAATCAAACAAACGAAGTTTTCCTCTTTATAATATTCGGATGGATGAATAGTTTAATAACATTGAAGTTAAAATATCTTTTTTTCAGATCATATGCACCATTATCAAGATTATATTCAGTTGATCAGTCTAGGATTATGGTGACGCAATTTTTTCCTGGCAAATTGGATAACTTCAATTTGCTAAGTTACTTACGTTATTGTTTCATGGTAAGTCTTTTATATATAAGAGAACAACTATCTACCTGGTCGCCATTTGTCAAAGAGCTAAGAATAAAATCATATTCATCAGTGAATGATTTTCTTAGTATTTCAAGCTAAGAAACAGTAAAATAGCGTAGTCATCCTTCAGTTTTGAAATGGTAAAGCGACCGCTTCCCATAGGCATCTGCAACAGCAGATGCATTGCCTACTCTTAGTCGAAAGAAGGGAGACACACATAAAGAGGGTATTTCTCCTCCCTATGCGTCTCCTCCACCGTCAAATCCACTTTTTCTCACCATCCTATCCTCTTAAGAGAAGAGTGGAATGAAAAGAGACTATAATTAAGCACCCGGCACTACAACGATCAAAACGAGACGCGGAATTGCTTTCATTTCACGCATGTCTTCTGTGTGGTTGTGATATAAAACCAGGCGAGCCATCCCATTCATGTAAAGATGTTAAAGCAGGCTCTACCACTGTTAACAATGCTAAAAATAATGAATTTTGATATCATTTTAATCAGTACTTTTATGTTTCAGATTGGTGAATACAGATTGCATTACGACTACTGTTTATCTGAAAGATACATAGTGGATTTGGCCAATGTCAATCTGAGCCTTCTAAGTAAAATTAATCCTGTAGTTTTAAAGAAAGGTGAAATACTTTGCAGTGTAAGTACGAGTATTTCGATTACTTAAGTATTAGTACTTTAGAAGAATTTCATTCATTTTACTTGTATTGATTGTTTCGTCAATTCTTTGAAATTACAATATGCGAAAATTTGGAGGGACAGATGCATGTTAGAATTTATAGCTTCAACAGCTGAAAGGATCTCAATGACTTTTTTAAGTTCCGCACGGAAGAAAGCTAGTATGAAAATAAATCATTGACTATAATTACTAACTTCTAATTAATTACAGGAGGGTCTTGGTACAAAAATTAAAGGTATACATATCGTAAATGCTCCACCTTATGTAGATAAATTTCTATTCATACTGAAACAAGCGCTGAGGGAAAAAGTAGCTAGCCGGATCCACGTACACAATTCATATGAAGATCTAAGAAAACATTTGCCTAAAGAGATCCTGCCTATGGATTATGGCGGTGATGAACAATATGTTGCAAAAATGGCTTGTAAGTGTCAATTCTTTATTAGGTCTTAAAAATTGACAACTTTGAAGTGTGTCGGTAGATTAAGACCTCAAAAGACGTGAATGAATTAGGTGAATGACGTGATTCGACTGCGAATTTAAAATGGTGAATGATAGATCGATTTGGAAGATGGAAAGCTACTGTGCTGATCTCACATGAATGATGAATGATTCTTACAAACAACTAAAGATCTGTGATTTGGTTCGCATGTAATTCATAAATCCAGGAACAAAGGTTCATAAGTTTTACTTTTAACAGTGGATCATTTCTTTTACTTTATTTGAAAATATATCTACAATATATTGGTTTTTTATTAGTATGGTAAAGGAAGTAAAAAGAATTATTTTCGTGAAATGATATTGATATATCGTTCCACTCAGACCGGTGCCTTCACTAGACACTTGAGTGGAATTATATTTGCTTTGGAACGTAAATAATACGAGTTCGAACTTTGATGGACATAATATTAGTACAAGGAGGTCAGAACAAGTAATACATAGTAAATATACATGTATAATAATAATACATAATAATCGTATTATAGATAATAATTATAGAAAAATATTGATTGTGAACCATTAAGTTCTATTGCCGAAACGTCTTTATAAATACTTACATTTACTTCTTTCTAGCACTTTTTAAACAAATGAAAAAGTATGATCATAATAAACAGTTTTAAGTTTTTTTTTCTCGTTATTTTACATTGTAATAAATGGTTTAATTTTTAGCGCAATGGAGAGAAGAACTCAAAACCAAAGAAGCGAGAAGAATAATAACGGATATGGATAAATTGGTGAGCGACGAAACGAAACGGACCAGTTCTAAGTTCAACGAGGAATACATGGGTATGCCAGGATCGTTCAGAAAATTAACAGTGGATTAAACACAAGAAGCTACATACATATATCAACCAGTGGGCTTCTGTTCATCTTGATAATACTGTGGGCTTCTATTTCCAAAACATTCACATACCTGTAAAAATTTCATTTAGATAAAAATGTTGATAAAAAGTTTATAAGACTATTTAATATTACATTGGAATGTTATTTTGTTTGTTTTTATATTTTTAACAATTGTATTCTTGGTTATAATCATACTCCGGGATCCCGTGACGTAAGTAGGGTTAATATTTTCACTTTGTAAGCAATCGTTGACAAATCTCTGCCTTGGTGAAGTGACGTAAACCTGACAACTGCGGGATCCTAATCTATAAGTTAATATATTGATATGATATTTTTAAGGCTACGGAAAAAAAAATGTTTAAACATTAATTAAAAATAACAAAAACATTCGTTTCATTTCAAACAACCAACCTAATTCAACAATAGAACAGCGAAGCAAACGAGTGTTTTTAACTTTCCGAAAATAAAAACAATTGCCATACAATTCTTTTTTAATATTTTATTTCTTCAAATAGACCGTGTGAATAGGCAATGGACAAAGCAACCGGTTGCTTGCTGAATAATTAACTTGATGCATTAGATGCGTCTGACATGCTCTGCACCGACAGAGATTGACCTGAATTAACGTAGATTTCCACTGCAAAACATTTTTGTCAATCATAAAAATCCACATCTAAACTAAAGTTATAAAGGGAAAGAAGAAAATGTATTCGGTAAGGCTGAAAAAATCGGCGAACGTATGTTCTGAACTTTGAAACTGCACGCGGACAAAGTCGCGGGAAACGGCTAGTATTTTTATAAACTTCTTAACAAAAGTTAAGCGCCAATAGCCCAATGGCTAGTTATGGATTACATGGTCGAGAGTGCGAAACCTGTTATTCTGCTATTATCGTAAACCTTTCTACCACAAGCCTACAGCTTAGTTGGAATTGTAAAAGAAATATTAGTAAACTAGCTTTCTCCCGCGGCTCCGTCCGAGTGGATTTAAAAAAAAAACAAAAGTGAGTAGCCTATGTGTATTTCCAGACTATCTTCTACATCTGTACCAAATTTCATCGATAAGCGCGCAGCTGTTTAGGCTGCAAACTCTAACAAACATCCATCCATCTAAATTTTCGAATTTATGATCAATTAAATCTGATAATATTTCTTTACTAAAAAAACATTGATTACGTTGTATCCCAGAAGTCATTTGATGTAATTATTTTTTTTATTATGTTTTTTATTACGATTCATTTGAAGATTAGGACACCACAAGGCTCATTTAACAGATTTAGTATGCGCTCAAACGTAATCGGAATTAATAAGATTATACCAAAAACAAAGAATAAATAAATTTGGATGGATTCAAATTTTTAAATGGGTCTACTGGAAACGAAAGTAAAATTTGATATTTCTAAAGATGAAACAAATCGGAATAAATGCAAATGGCGTATTTTATCTATATTAAAAAAAAAATTACGTATAAAATAATATAATCACGTAAACATCTATAAGATAAGCATGTTGTTTAAATTGTTTGAATAACCTTTGAATAAGAACATTGTCTATAATTAATTTTATCTAACAGTAATCAATATTACCGCGAAACGAATTATTAATAAAAAAATGTTTTTGAAACATCTACACTAATGAGAGGATTAGAATTAAACCAAAACAACGCCATTAAAGCAAAGTATTTAACCAAGATTATTGCAACCTCCACTTAGTTTTAACTTTGAAGCGCTTTGGACTGTGGTTTTACAAAGGATCAATTAAAATGAATTCGATACCTGAAAATACATTACTAAATTTTAAAGACGATACACTCGTAAGTGTCCGCAAGGATTACGATTTAGAAAAACCTGGAAGAATGGATGAAGCTGTAGATATATTAGTGGAATGGTTGAAAAAGCAAGATCATTTTGTAAAAAAGGAATTCGGTAAGAAATATATTCAAATTTTATAAATTTATATGCCAAAAAAACTGTATTGCAAAACTGTTTTGCGATTGTCGATTGTTTTGCAGCTAAATTAACTGTTTAGTTGCACAACTAAAAACAGAGTAGTGTGCAGATATCCACATAAGCTGATAGAAATCAAAGCGAGACTAAACAGTTGTTCGATAGTTTACTTTCAGGTGTGCGCGCGGTTATCTATACTAATATTATAAAGATATTTTTTATTTTTGGATTTTTATGTATTGAAATAACTCAAAAACTATTGGACCGATTTCGAAAATTCTTACACCATTAAAAAGCTACGTTATCAGTGAGTAACATAGGCTATGTTTTTACCATTTTTTAAAGATCCATGCGGACGAAATCGCGAACAACAGCTAGTATATTATATTTTGATTAGTTAACTTATAATATTTAATTTAAGTAACAGTAATTTAATAAAACTTGATTTTATTAAACGACTTTCTTGTAGCAAGGGAGCATTTAGAGAGAAGGATAATTTTCTCAAAGGGATCCGTGGAACGTGCGAAAGTAAAGTTGGATAGAAATTGCACGTTGAAGACTTTAATGCCAACGTTTTATGAAAATATTAACTTTAAAAATGATTATAAAGAATCAGATACAATGTAAGTGTTAAATATATCTATTTTATCAATGACAGAAAACTTTGTATTAATGTTTCTTTATTTTTACCTAAAATATTTCAGTGTTGATGCAATTTTACCAAAACTCACCGATGACCACTACAGATGTTATGCACTTAAATGCTTTGCCAAACGCTTTGATAATGGTTTTACAAATTACTTCCGTTTTTCTCTTGCTGTAAGTGTTTTTATAATAATAATGTCGAGTTATTTTATCTATTTATCTTGATCACTTTTAGAACTTTAAATATGTACTAATTGAAAAACAAACAGTTGTTAATCATTAATTTCTAAGTAACGATAGGAAGAAAATACTCGATAGTTCAAGAAACATGTTTTTTCAAAAAACATATAAAATCAAAATATTTCGTAGTAACAATAAAAAAGTAAATATTGTGTTTTTTTGTATTTCAGATGATCGAATATATATCAGCGCACGATTATTGCAAAGGTTTAATAGCCATTTTAGATTATAGGGAGACAAATTTAATTGAAATGATAAAGAAAATCGACATCACTGAATTACGACATTTTATTACATTATTAACAGTAAGTAATACATAAATTAAAAATACAATAGCTTAATCAACTCTGATTGCGGCAGAGACTCTTAATTCGATAGTGTCCAGTATGACCAACAATTAAATTAAAAAAATGTATTTCATTCATATTTCAAATCCAAAAATATGACTATTAAAATCAGTTGTTTTTTTTGCTACAAAAGTCAGTGGAATTCAGAGTTAACAATATTGATTTTAGGAAGGCTACGGAATGAAAATCAAAAGCATGCATATCATCCATACTTCAAAAGCAATTGACACTTTAGTGACGATCTTAAAGCAATGTGTTAGCGCGAAGATTGGACAGCGCATACAAGTACACAAGGACATGGAATCTTTGCACAAATTCGTACAAAAAGATGTTCTACCAACGGAATTTGGAGGGGATGAGAAATCAATATTCGAATTACATGGTACGATTCTGGAAACAGATTCTTATTCTAAGAGCGTGCGCACACCTGAAACTATCGCACAACTCTTTAGTCTCGCTTTGATTCCTATAAGCTTATATGAAAGTGGCCACAATACTCAATTTTTAGTTGTGCAACTAAACAGTTGAATTGGCTGCAAAACAATCGACAATCGCACAATTATTGTGTTAAGGTTATGCACCCACTCCAAGGATGAGGTGAAAAGGAATCTGCGGGAGCCTTCCTCGACCTTGCTCAGTCTAAGATCGAGTCTTAGAGTGGGTCAAGCGAAAGAATGGACTGGACTGGTTACCCTTAACGGAGGCCAAGGTGTACTTTAACAAAATAAACCATTATAATCAGTTAGTTGTATTCTTAAGAGCGGACGGACACCTTTAACTAAACTATAGCACAATTGTTGTGATTGTTGATGACCAAATAACCTAATGTGATACTTTTTTCAGATAATTGGGTAAATGAACTAAGCTCAGAAGAGTTTCAAAAATACTTCGAAGCCATAAAAGCAGCTACTACGAATGAAATGTACAGACAAACAGACAAATTTAATGACGAATATATGGGCATGGCAGGAACGTTCAGAACCTTTCTTGTAGATTAAAATTTCTTAAAATACTTTCACTAATTATAAGTTGTACTTTATATGAGTTTTTGTTTTAATTTATACAAAAAAGTTATACGCGAAAAATAAGTATAGTCACACACCAAAGAGGAAAAGACAGTTACCAGAATTAATTGGTAGTACAGCAATTATTACTAAATAATTAATTTTGTAGTAAAGAGAAAATTACTCGTGTGCCGGAGGTCTAGTTTAAACCTTACCTTTCCCACCCTTTTCCATATAAGCAAAGGGTAAATTGTTTCTTGCGGTCTCTTATTAAAGTGACATGTCGACCTTGTTAACTTAAAGTCCACAGGGTTACCATCGTTTTAACATCGGTTTGGTTTTAATAAAAATAATAATCTTTCTGTATTTCAATTGTTAACCATAGTTTTTCTTTCGTATATCAAATCCGATAAAAACAATGGCAAATAAGCAAAAACTAAAAACCAACTTTGTCCGGCGTTTTCTAACAACTATCCTAATATTGTAAATGCGAAAGTTTAGATGGATTGATGGATGAATGTTTATTAGAGTTCGTAGTCTAAACGGCGGAACGAACTTCGATGAAATTTGATACAGATGTAGAGGATAGCCTAGAATAATATATAGGTTACTCGCTTTTGTTTTTTTTTAATTCCCCGTGAACGGAGTCTCGGGAAAAAGGTATTAATATGAAAAAACAAGCATTACAGTAAAAAAAATGCGATTTTAGATTGATTGAAAAAAGTGAATTTTGTAACATAGATTCTTTCATTAAGACAAGATTAAAAATATAAGGTAAAAATGAGTATTAACAAAAACACAGACATCTTTATATCTTATAAGATAACCTATTACGTTTGTATAGATCTGCAATTAATAATATTTATTAAAATGCATTAAAACCGCGGCATTAAGGTCAGTCTGGTATTTATATCGCTATATCGAGTGGCTAGGTCAGTCTAGACTAAGCATTTCATATAATAAGTTGCCTCTAATCACTACCTATTACCACTATAATAATATACGAAGTCGCACTGTGTACGATCTCTACCTTAATTTGGGGACATAGGATATTAACTCTGTAAGTCACAACACAAAGTAGTTGACCTAAGCCAAGAGTATTCGGAGCGGATTTCTCTAAAAAAATGGATTCGATACCAAAAAACGAACTGTTAAATTTTCATGAAGATACACTCATAAGTATACGTAAAGATTACGGTCTGAATAAACCAGGAAGAATGGATGAATCAATCGATGCGTTAGTTGAGTGGATAAAGAAACAGGATCATTTTGTTAAGAAAGATTTTGGTAAGTGTAACTGTAATAGATTAACCAATAATATAGTAAACGCTTTTAAAAACGCTTAAACGCTGTTACCGTATATGTAAATCAATACGTCAACGTATTTGGTTCGCCGCACCTCGTAAGACAATTCATCTCTTTCGCAGCAGATACTGTGCCAACCCTCCGTAAAGACAAGGGCAAGTTGATAATTATTTGATTTGATTTCTATAGACTTACCGTTGACGTTATAGCTTTATAGCCTATGTTATTCAAGGATATTTTTGCTTCCTAATTATTTCATTTAGTAGTTTCTGAGCCTATTAAAACAATCAAATCTTTCCACTTTATATTATTGTAGATTTTTTGCCTAAATTGTTTCGAATATCTGGTTTTTCAGACAGAGATTATCTAGAAAGATTGATAATATTTGCCAAAGGTTCTGTGGAGCGTACAAAAGTAAATTTGGACAGATCCTGTACGATGAGGTCTTTATTACCAACGTTATACAAAAGTGTTGATTTTAAACGTGATTATAAAGAATCAAACATACTGTAAGTATAGCTTTATTCTAGCCTAGACTATTTGTTTAATAAACGTGCGTCATGTTATTTCTTAGTTTAGATGGATGGATGTTTGTTAGAGTTTGTAGCCTAAACTGTTTGTAGGCTGAACGGATCTCGATTAAATTTGGCATAGATGTAGAACATATAGTTTAAAGGACACACAGGCTACTTACTTTTTTTTATTTCCACACGGACGGAGCCGCGGGACAAAGCTCGTAATACATTAATTTTATTGGTGTATGATAAAAATTACGTATATTTTTGTATAAAAAAATCTAATAAAAAAACAATGTTTTATACAACATGCATGAGACATCTTACTTACCAACTAGTTATGTAAATTTGTGCAAATTGTTTTAAAACGCAGATTATAAAATGCGTTTTATTGTACCATGCGTATATTATTTTATAATTGGTTCTACTTAATATATAGTTAACGTCAATATTAATATGTGTATTAACAATATCGATTAAAATAAAAAAAACTTGCATTTTCAGAATAGATGGTATTTTGCCAAAACTAACAGACGACCACTACAGAATTTACGTGTTGAGGAACATCGGCAAAAAATTTGACAATGGTTTCACAAACTACTTTTGTTATGCAATCGCAGTATGTTAAGTTACAGTTTTTCTACTTATTTAAGTCTTTGAATTCGTTATCTAATTTTTAGTTAAATATTTATAGATATTACTAGTTATAAAAAACTAACATACTTTTACCAATCCACAAAGCTAAATAATTGGCTTTGCAATCAGTAGAGAGCCCGCTTTAACATCTTCGCACGAATGGGTCCGCTCTCGCGGTGCAATACCCCCAGGCGTGAAGTCGGAGCTATACCGCATTTCATCTGAGGCCCAACTTTAGTCCCTTTTCCTTCCTACCCATTTTGTTATAAGAAAGGGAACGTGGATTTGACGGTGGAGGAGATGCATAGGAAGGGGTAATATCCTCTGTATGTGCGTCCTCCTCCGTCGATTGTAGACAACACACCCGCTATTGCGAATGACTATGGGCAACGGTCGCTTCGTAATTTTTGCAGATTCAGGCTAGCTCGTTTGCCTTATGATATAAAAAAAACCAACTGGCGTAGTGTGGCTCCATACAATCTGTGACTGTCCCAACTGTAATGGGCAACTGTACCGCACATAAGCTTTATCTGTGTACAGTTTATTTACACATGTGTCCAAAGTAAGCTAACTAAACGCACCGTTATGCAGTTCACGTCACACCCGGACGTGCATAAAATTCTTTATTAATTTATGCATGTTGTTTAGAATAAAATTATAAAAAAAAACTCAACAATGAACAATTTACTCTTAAGAGTATGCATTTAGTATTGTATTTATCGTTATTAACTTTAATTATTGTGTTAAAGGCGCTTAGAGAGTAAGAAAAAAGTTGTTTATGATAGCATTGTTTAGTACGCTTGCATAATAACCGTACCATACGTCATATTGAATGCCCTTAGGATCCGAATTGCCTTCCTTACTGTTGCCTCGTTTCGACGAACTAAAACTAAGGGCCTATTCCACCAAATTGTAAATTCTCTGATAATCCAACGTTTAAAACATATGATGGAAATATCGGATTTTGTTCTCTTATCTGACAGTGACGTCATTTTTAAGCTATAGGCTCTATCAGCCAGTGGTGTGATAGGCCCTAAGTATTAGTAAGAGTTTTAAACAAATAGAAAGGACAACTTGGATTTAATTTTTTGGTTATACCTGAAATAAATAAGATAATTGTCTTAAAAATTCTCGAATGCTGGCATTTTGTGAACCTTAAATGTGTTGTTTAACTTACAGATAGCTGAGTATATACAACGATACGATTATTGTAAAGGGCTTTTATTAGTCGTTGATTATAGAGAGGCCAATATTCTAGAAATGTTAAAGAATTTGAACATGATTGAAATGAATGAAGCTATTAATATTTTAACAGTAAGTCAAGACATTTTATAATATAACAAAATATATTCACCGTAACTTTCTAGAATAGTTACTAAATCAGTTGTCAAGTTTATTATGCCAGTATCCTTGTATTGACATATAAAAAAATATTCTCTATCTTATGTTATAACCTAAACTAAACTAGTGTTACAAAATAAATTATGAACATTTAGATATTATTTACTGAAATATATTGCCAATTAATTTAAATACAATTAATTGTATTGATATGCAGAAAATTTGTCGTTTTTACGCCTAGAATATACGTTATAAAAATAGTTATAAATCATTTTCACCACCATATTAAGAAAGAACTTTGACCAAACTGTCACACGACTGTTTAGTTGTGCTTTATTTCTATGAGCTTATATTAAGGTGCGCACAATACTCGATTTTCAGCAAATAAACAATTGAATTGGCTGCGAAACAATCGACATTCGCAAAAGTGTGGTGAGATAGTAAGGTTTACGACCGCTCTTACCGCTTTACTTTTTTCAGAAAGGCTTCGGAATGAGAATGAAAGGTATACACATACTCTCTAATTCAAAATCTATAGAAACGTTAATCACAATGTTGAAACAGATTTTTAGTAAGAAGATTGGAGATCGTATTCAAGTGCATAATAATGTAGAATCGCTGCACAAGTTTGTTCAAAAAGATGTTTTACCCCCCGAAGTTGGGGGAAATGATAGATCATTAGTTGAAATCCACGGTAAGAAAACATCTCATCCTCATCATCAGTCTTTGTTTGCCACTGCTGGACATCCCCAATGCCTTCCACATGTTTACATTATGGATCATAATTATGCACATATATGCATTGTCAGCCGATGATTTAAGGGAGAGGCGGCGACCATGAATATGGTGTTATTTGTAAAAGTGTTATTGTCTCTTATTCATTTTTAGAGTCACTAGAGTAAGGCAGATTCTCCTCCCTACCCATGTTACAACACCCACGATGTATCGTCGTTATTAATAAAATTTAAATTGGCTCCTGTAGCAAAATAATAGCAATCACAGTTATTGTGTATCCATTACAGTATAGAATTAATTGCTGTTTTCGTTTTTTTCAAAGACAACTAAAGAGACAGCAAGATGTATTTTAAACAAGTTTTAATGGAAACTTGTAGATGGACAATAAATCAGATTGTCAGAGTGTGTAATATAATTTTTCCTTTCCAACGAATGTGAATTTACAAATAAACAATAATATTACAATGCTTCTATTTTCAGAAAAATGGATAACCGTTCTGAGCTCAAAAGAATTTCAAGAATATTACCAGACAATAAAACAAGCAGTTACAAATGAAAATTACAGAGCAACGGACAAATTTAACAATGACTATATGGGTACCGCTGGAACATTTAGAAGTTTAAGTTTAGATTAAAGATAGAAATATTTAACGTATCCTATTATCTTTATTTATAATTAACATCTTTATTGAGGTTATAATGTGAATTCGAGATAAAGAACCGCTTTGAATTAGGGAAAATTAGGAAAGACGGGCACCGCGTCTGCAGTTCATCTGGAATTGAGGATGTCCGTCTCTCAACAACAGTCTTGGCGTTCCCGTTGCATTTTAGCCCATATGTTTTAAAAAAGGTTGAAAGTCCCTAGATAGTTTAGGAATTAAGCAAAGGTTGCAAAGGGCCTGTTTTTATAAAAACATAACTTATTATCAAGTATAAAGTTTGTTCTTACATCAAATATTTAACTCTCAGGATGTGCTTGGATGGATAAAAATAAAAAATAGCAAATATTCAGAATCGTTTTATTGCTAGCAAACCTTTTAAAAAAACATCTTCATTATTATCTTCTTCGTATTTTAATTTGTAAAAGAGTTTGAATTTAGATTTTCGACATTTTGGAAAGTATCAAGTTTATGAAAGTTCGTAATCTATACTAATATTATAAAGAGTAAAGAATTGTATTTTTGTATGTATTGAAATAACTCAAAAACTACTGGGTCGATTTTAAAAAATCTCTCACTATTAAATTAAATTGTCTGCGAGCAACAGCTAGTTAGAGAAAAAAAAATTGTTAATCACTAGCTTTCACCCGCGACTCCGTCCGCGTGGAATAAAAAAACAAAAGTAAGTAGTCTATGTGTTCTTTCATATTACTTTCTACATCTACCATAAGCCAAATTTCATCGACATCCGTTCAATAGTTTAGGCTAGAAACTATAACAAACATCCATCCATCTAAACTTTTGCATTTATAATATTATTATGATTTGAAGAAGTAAGTAACTAATTTGTAATTCATTAAAAAAATCTACAACTACCACGACAATTGAGATTGGGAAGTGTCTAGAAGTAAAAAAAAATACACGCTGTACATTCACGTGAGAAATTGCGGTTCTGCGACTTGTTGGAAACTTGAATCATTTTTATGATCGCATTGCTCTTTTGCAGCAGATAAAGGTAAGATTTTAAAGTCATTAACCTTGGTTTTGTTACTGGCCTGTATGACTAAAGTCATTAATATAAAAGAAAAAAAAAACAAGATATGTTATGATTGATTCCTGCTGATTGATATCTCGCTATTTAAGTTTTTATACCCGTTTTCGATGTTTTCTTTTTAAATTACTAACCGTAACTTGAATGAAATAATTCACCTATATCTATACTTCTATACTATTATAATAAAGCGTAAACACACACTTCTTTGTTGCCTAAGATGTCAGCAATCACAGCATATTTTCGAATAATTATTTTTTTAATAAGAAGCTCTACACTTACTTCACGCTTTAGGCTATATATGTTCACGCTATTAAACTAAGGGGGTAAATAAATTGGTAAAACATTAATGTGGGAAAGGGACCATAAACTACAAGCTGCCAACATTAAGGAAGGAAGGTTGCAGTGGTTTGACATCATGTTATGTCATTTTGACATTTGTAATTGATAATTTGACAAATGTGAACAATGAAATGATTTTTTTATAATTGTATGCGGATAAAGTCGCATGGGAATAGCTAGTATAAAATATATCAATAAAGAAAGGTACAGTTAATTTTTTTATTAAATGACGTATTTCAAATTACCAAGAATCGAGAACGCCGAACATGTAAGGAAAACATTCTAAATAAACTTGGTTAAAATTGAAATACGATAAGAGCTATAATTCAACTATCGATAAGAAATTTGATTGAAAACGTTGAAAATTAAATTTTATCACGTAATAAAGAATTAAAAACGGATTTACGTACGTATTCAACGAGTTTTCTTTCGCGTTTGAACAAAAAATAATTGCCAACTGTGAATATTAATTCTGTAATTTTTTAAGAAAATATGAACAAAAAAAATTATATGTCAGTGGAAAAGAAACATATGTTTACAAAGTCATTAATCTAAACGAGTGTTTTAACTTCAGTATTTGTGTTTGTTTCCAAAAAAAAAACAGTGTGACTGGACGAGCCGAGTGCTACTAGTTTTCGAAATTGATCGTGAGTTTAACGTCAGTATAAGTTGGCACACCTTCAACGACGGTACTGTGTTTATTTAGTTTAAAATGGATTCAATTCCTAAACATTCACTATTGCAATTTAATCCGGACACTCTTGGATACATACGTAAGGTATGTAACCTACACGAACCCGGTAGGATGAAGGAAGCGATTAAAATATTGGACGAATGGACGAAAAAGCAGAGTCATTTCAAGAACAAAAATTTTGGTAAGTATTTAAATAATTACATAGAAGAAAGTTAGACAATATTTAGGTAAACGTATTCCATTTGCTTCTAAATAATCTATACTATTGTTACAAAGACGAGAGACTTGTATTTTTGGATTTTCGTATATATTGGAATAATTCAAAAACTACTGGACCGATTTCAAAAATTCATGCAACGTTAAAAAGCTACTTATTCACTGAGTAATAGGATACAATTTTTTTTGCAAATTTAATTTCACGCGGACGAAGTCGCAAGCAACAGCTAATCAACAACAAGTATGAAAATAATATTAATATACTTTTATTATTATCCAATTGAAGAACTTTTCAAGTAAAACCCGCAATAACATCGCACGAACGGCAGACACTCCTGTGCAATAGCAAAACCACACAGATGACAGATGTCAAGTGGAAGTCATACCGCGTTTGGTCTTGGTGCGAAGCTTAATTTTAGTCCCCTATTGACCCTCTTCGTATAGGAAAGAGGTGAACGAGAAGTGTATCCACTTATGGGGGAAGGGATGCATAAGTTGGGGGATATCCTCTATCTATGCGTCTTCTCTTTTGATTAAAGGTAGGCGCATCTACATATTCGATGTACAAGCGATTACTTTGCAATTTTGAGGAATTCCGATGGCCGCTTTTACTTTAAACTAAAAAAAAACAATCGCTTAACTCCTAATTGCGGAGTAACATGAATCGAATGACTTCGCAACCTTTAAATCTTTTTAGTTTTTATGCTAGAATAACAATACAAAGGAACAAACTTACAAAAATACTCACATACCAATCGAAAACCCGGTCCTGGTAAAAATCACCCGTAACTAATTCTCAAGTTATTTTGCATATAAACGACTCGCAACGCATTGATTATATTAATGAACTGTAAATGAAAATAAATACTAAGATAGATGAAGAATACAGTTTTATTTGACTAAAATCAACAAAATTTACAACTTCGTTAAGTTCGCAAATTAAAAAGTAGAAGTTAGTATGACTCGCATACGCTAACTTCCAATAAAAGTCCCGTCAAAATCGACCCAGGCATTTCGGGGATTACCCGAAACACAAGCAAAAGAGTTTTTATTTTTTATTTAAAGCATCATAAATACGTTATGTTACCGAAGTGTGTGTTTTATATTAGATATTTAACTATGAATTTTAACTTAATTTGACAACATAATCTTACTGTATAATATTATAAATGTGAAAATTTAGATGGATGGATGTTTGTTAGAGTTTGTAGCCTAAACGGCTGAACGGATTTCTATGAAATTTGGCATAGATGTAGATGATAGTCTAGAAGAATACATAGACTATTCATACTTGGTTTCTTTTTAATTTCACGCAGATGAAGTCGCGGGCATAAGCTAGTAAACTAACTAAAGCTAAGTTGTCTTTAAAACTCAGTTTGCATCTAAAGCGTTGTTTGTGTTATAGTTTGTCTAAATAAGATAAATTAGTTTGACAATTCATTTGAAATTTAGTAGGGATGGATTGTGTAAAATCAGTCATGAACCTTATCGATTTTCGATTTTATTCTAATAGAAGTTCGAATCGATAGATTCATAGTTATATCTTATGAAAAAAAACACTGTTTCCTCAAATTAATAATGGCCTGCAGAAATGATTATTACTATAAATGATTATTACTACTACAGCAGTACGTAATCGAATTGGATTTCGCTATTTTTTCTGTCGTCGCTAAATTCTCTACATTATAATCAATACTAGAATTGTCCTCTAAATTAGTCAATAAGAAAATAACAATTTTAGTTGAGTTCGATAATTATTTAAACCGAATATTGATAGTTCACAATTGTTCGCTATGCGTGTTTGTATCGTCACTACGATACCTGCCTATTACTTAATAGGCAGTTATCGTAGTGACGGCATTTGTCTTCATACAAATTGAATGCGATACTTCAAATGCGTCATTTATCAAACTAATGTATCTTATTTAGACAAACTATAACATCAATGTGAACAAAACAATGATTAAATTCTCAACATTGTTTAAAACATGTTTTTTAGAAAACCTTGGAAATGTTTAGCGTTAAGGTAATTTAAAAAAATAATTTTTACTTAACTTGTCAGTAAACTATGAAGATTAATTAAGTTTAAGTATTTAAATTAGTCATTGTGTTATTTGTATACAATTTTTTACAATACAAAACATTAATTAACGCACTCAGAGACATTAAGTAATTACTAACGATTAATATATTTGTAGCCAATATTATAAAAACAAAGCTAGAGGACGTTTTGATCGCCTCTTCTAAAATATCACATTGCTACGAGCGTGAAGGATAGAATTAAAACGCATTGAACATTTCTGCGTTAATTTATTCACGACTTACAGAGACAGCGATTCACAACACTCACACAGTTGTTTCTTAACACTTCACGACACCCAAAATACAGGATCACTAACACAGAGTACTTTACAGAACACCACTGGCACTGTAACTCTTGCACTTTCACTCCGCGGTCACTTAATCTTCTTCGCAATTTACTTAGAACTTCTTCACAGTTCACTTTCCACCGTATGACTCCCCGAGTCACGACTGACTCCCCTTATATACCCCGAATTTCTATCTTCTTTTCGTTATTAATTTGTCACATTATTCCAGAACTTTCTAGATAGTCCGAATTACATAAATTTCATAATGGAACATTCTCGATGCCGTTTGGAATATTCCAGACATCTTTTCGCGAACGTCATTTTCGAAACTCCCGGCGATCGAACATTCTGGAAACAGCTCGTTTATTCTTTGGACATGAATTTCGCTACTCATCAATAGATGACGTCGCAACAAGATGTACGCAAAGAAATTAGTGCTAAAATTTTTCACAATATCGCAAAGGTTTTTATATTTCTTTTCTGTCTATACTTACTTCTATCTGATGGTTTAATAAATTAAAGTAATTAAGAAACCATATCCTTTCCACTATTTCCGCTACTTTAAGGGCCTGTCCCACCAAATTGTAAATTGTCTGAAAACAATCGATCGTGTAAAATATGTGATGGAAGTATCGGATTTTGGTACCATATCTGACAGTGGCGTCATTTTTAAGTTATCTGAGCCTCTATCAGCCAGTGGTGGGACAGGCCCTAAGTAATGTAATTTGTAACTTTTTCATTAATGTAACTTTTTAAATTGATAGGATTTCCTTATTTCGTTTTTTCAAGGTAATGATCTAATGGTTACCCGTTCTTTGTTTAAGTTAGTAATTTTTTATAATAATTATGATATTATGATGCGTAATTATATGTATAAAATGTTATTTGTATAATAATGAAGAAGTTTACTGTAAATTTTATTGTTATTGTATATTAATGATGTAAAAAAAGGTTAACGTTTCAACTTAAAAGTATTTTTTAACATAATATTAAGAGTTTTGTGTTTTAAACTAAACTAAAACTAAAATTTGCAACTTTATCGATTTGAAAATTAAATTTGGAATTGAAATTAACTTACTGGTCACGTGGAAGTTAATATATTTGGTATCTTTTACCATACGGAAATATTATACAAAACTCGCCGAATAGCATGTCAAGGAATTTCTGCACAAATTAGGTATAATAAAAAATAGCCGTAAAATACAAGTTAATAATTTATAGAAATTTACATGATTTCCTCGTATATTATATTTTATTTAATAGTATATATTTATAAAGAACTAGCTGTTGCTCGCGACTGTAAGTGTGAATAGCCTATGTTTTCTTCCAGACTATGTTCCATATGCCAAATTTCATCGAGATCGTCCAGCCATTTAGGCAACAAACTCGAACAAACATTCATCAATCTATACTTTCACATTTATAATATTAACTAGTGTGATTATACTTTTTTTCAGATCCATTTTATTTGGAGACGACAATAATCGCTTGCAAGGGGTCAATGGAGAGAGCTAAATCACAAATAGATAGCATCTGCACGTTCAGAACTTTAATGCCGACATTCTTTAGAAGAGTCAACGTGAAACATGATCTTGGAAATCTTTACGACATTGTGTAAGCAATGTATTGCAACTTATCTTGCTTCTTACTAATATTATAAATGCGAAAGTTTAGAAGGATGAATGTTTTTTGAGTTTGTAGGCTAAACAGCTGAAGGGAAAGTCTGAAAGAAGACATATATAATACTTCTTTTTCATCCTGGAAATTGTTACGATTCGAGTTATAGTTTTTTTGTGTTATCTCGATTATGCTGAATTTGTGCAACCTATTTTATTTAAATTTTGCACAGATAAAACAAAGTCTGGAGCAACACATGGGATACGATTCATCCATGAAAAATGTCAGGTTCGCGCGAGATACGTAGTTTTTTGTTGTTTATAGTATTCGTACGTTCTTTATACTGCACTGAAGAAGTCGCGGGCAATAGCTAGTTTATCTTATATTTTTCAACAAATAAGTAATTTGAACTGCACATATTTGTCCATACAAATGTTAATGCATTATTTAAGTAACAATTACCTGCTTCTTATGTCATGTTTGCGTAATTAATACTTATTTATCGTTTCGTCATCATTAAAGCAAGGTACTTGAGTAGTTTTGTAATATGAAACTTGTTGGAACTACATCTGGTTTCGAAACTCTCGACCAATGAAACACTACATTGCAGAAAACAGACGTGAAATTCAAATATTCTAAGTTTCACGAAGCGCTGGAGGCATATACTATTTCCCTTCTCATCCTAGCTACTGCAATAAGGTTACCATGAGAAGTGGTTGACCAACATGGGGTTCACCAACAGATGATCTAGGCTAGATCTAGTCAGAAGAAGCTACCAGTACTATGATCTTATTCGTATTATTTTTATCTTGTTTTTATGTATTTGGGATCCATAAGTTTGTGAAGGTTGGTGTCCCTATCTAACCTAAGGAAGGAAATAAGACAAAAAAGAACGCGTCTCTTACAATCTGTAAAGCAACTTCTTTCGCATAGTCTTCTTTTGTAGTCGATCCCTCCTTTGATACCCTAAAAAAATATATATATGTGACTTTTATTATTAACTATCATATTTCTTTATTTATTATTTTGTACATAACATATTTTACATGATTTCTATCTATTGAAAAATAAAGTAATACATATTATATAAAAAATATAGCACCACCGGCTGCGGAATCCGATGACTCAAGCAATCAGTGGTCAGGGCTGCAGAGACAGGAACCTCCTCACAACGCGTGCGGTTTCTAAAATATGTAACTGCCTTCTGAATCGGGCCCTTAATCCAACTACCTAGCGAGAGCTTTTCGAGATTTTTTTTTTATAATAAAGGGGGGGCAAACGAGCGGCGAGAACACCGAGGTGGTCACCGACGCCCATGGATATAAGCAACACCAGAGGAACTACAGATGCGTTGCCGGCCTTTGAGGAAATGATAGGCTCGCTTGTTGGTTGAAGTTGGTTGTTGGTTGTTGGTCAAAGCTCTTCGCTATTGAATTATTATGAATTATTATTAATTGCAGACGTCCAGTCATGTTACCGAAGTTGACACCGGATCACTATCGTGTGTTACTGGTTAAATTCTATGGAGCAGCATTTGAAGCATCCCAGTATATGGATTATTATAATTTTTGTATCATAGTAAGTAGCTGACTTTACCTTACTTCTTACTTAATCTTACTTGCGAAAGTTTAGATGGATGGATGTTTGTTAGTTTATCGCCTAAAACGCTAAATGGATCTTGCTGAAATTTGACACAGATGTAGTCTGGAAGAGCAAAGGCTGTTTATTTTTGTTTTTTTTTTTTAATACCACGCGGACTATGCGGGTGAACGCTATTAATATTGTACATGCGAAAGTTTAGATAGATGAATGGATGTTTGTTATTATCTTAAAATTATGTTAACTTATATATTATTTTATATTTCAGATAGCAGAATACTTAAAAGTACACGACTATTTAAATGGATTTTTAGTATTTACGGATTTCACTGAAATCAATTTAATGGATTTTATAACGAAATTAAATCCGATTGAACTGCGTCAAGCATTAGCTATATACATGGTGAGTAAATAGTCATTTTTAATTACCATTGTATTAATTACTAGCTGTTCCCGTGCGACTTCATTCGCATGGAATTATAAAAACTATATTTTATTGCTTACATTTGTCAAATTCTCAATTGCAAATGTTAAAATTACCATATGGTAACCATAATAACCTTGCTTCCTTAATGTTGGCAGCTTGTAGTTCATGGTCCCTTTCCCACATGTAGGTTTCCAATATATTTACCCTCTAAGTTTTATAGTATGAGAATACGAGTATATAGCCTAATGCGTGTCATAAGTGTAGGGCTTTTTATTAAAGGCAGATTTATTCAAAAATATGTTGTGATTGCTGACATCCTACGCCACAAAGAAGTGTGTTTACGCTTTATTACATTTGCATAGAGTATAGATGACATTGTTTTTAAATGATTGTAGTTTTTATGTGTTTTCAATGTTCTTTTTCTAAATTTCAGCAAGGATTCGGTATGAGATTAAAAGGTATTCATATCTTAACTTCGTCGAAATTGATTGATGTTTTGATAACTTTATTAAAACAAATCCTAAGTGAAAAACTAATCAAGCGCATCTTTGTTCATAAGACTATAGATACTGTTTACGAACATATACCAAAGACTATTCTGCCTTCTGAATTTGGTGGTGAGGAACGTAATGTTAAAGAACTTCATGGTGAGTAGCTTTATTGTTCTAAATGTTTGCAACATTGCAAGTTAATTGACTCCATCAATAAGTATTTTATCTGTATTTAAAAAGATGTCTTCTTCCTTATCTCAAATGAAAATAGAAAAGTGTTATTAGAAAATTTTGCTATTATTTTCCTGAAGGCGTTTTAGAAAAGTTTTTACAAAAAATAAATAATTATACTTTTTGAACGTTACAGAATCTTGGGTTGAGCTACTTAGCTCTGATGAACATCTTGCTCATTTAGATAGGCAGCGTGAAACAAGAACCGACGAGTCTCTCCGACAGTCACAAGTTTTTAACGAACAATACGCTGGAATGCCAGGAACGTTTAGAACACTTACCGTGGACTAAATATCCTATTATCCATACATTTACCTATGTAAAAAATTGTAAACAAGCATTACTTGATATGGAAAGCTACTATTACATTATTTTATAACTTGTCCTCAAAGTTGAACTATTATTAAAAGTTACATGGAAAAATTACTACGCTTGTTGAAAATGAGAAATATGTCTTTTGACTTTTTTTTAAATGTATACAGTTAAATTATAATTTGGGTAATCCTAAAACTTTCTTGTTGTTCTTAAAAGCGTGCTCTTTTTGTTTTGATCGCATTAGTTTTGTATTGCGTGGCGAGTGTCGTCAACTTTCTTGAGGATATTTAAAATTTTAGTAAGTATATTTTTTATTGTTTTATGTTTGGGGTACCTTACTTAACAAAGAGATCTTGTTTATTTATTGTACTTAAAAATCGTATATAATTTGTATTGCCGTGGTATTGTGTTGGATATGATGCATCGAAGAGATTATAATTTAAAAGATGGTTTATTGTTCAGCTGTAACATTATAAAGAAATTAAATAATTGTTTTAATTGTTGGTTTCCACTTTTATTTCATCCATTAATTACTTAACAAGTTTTTGTTCCGTGACTGAAAAACTTAACTTACTGCATTTCAATTAACATCCTTGTCTAATTAATCGTTATACAAATCAACTTGCTTAAAAAAGAATCATAACAAAAAAAAAGATGCTTTATAATGCGTATCAGAATCTAGGACTACATAAAATTGTTATTAGATTAGTTGTAAATCACTTAATATTAACTAACCGATCAAAAAAGGGTGTAAAAACATTTCTTAAGAATTTAATAGCAAAATGTTCATAATAAGTTTGCTATTTTAAAAGATCAGGCGAGCAAAATCTCAGAACGCAACAAATCAATAACATACCAGTTTTTGTGTGCGATTTTTTTTAATATAAACTAAATAAACAGCAATACAAGTTTACAAACTTTAGCCAGCATCTGTCTATGCGAGTTTACTAGTTTTTTATACAGCTTTAGTTATACGTTCATATTATCACGTTTTCGTCCAGTAAATCTTCCAGTTTAACGCAGCAGTTCAGAGGTACAACAATTTATTGGATAGTTGTCCCGTTAAGTAACATAGGACGTGAGTAGCATTGGTCACGACTTACACTTTTTTACCCGAGTAACTCAAAGGCCTATCGTGCGTACCTATGTACGAGTACATGGGCTTGAATGTAAGTTATTGTAACTTACAAAAATTTTAAACTCTGTCGAGATGGTCAAGGAAAGAGAGATGTACTGCCTTCTGAATTTGGTGGGGAGAAACGTAACGTTAAAGAACTTTATGGTGAGTAGCTTTATTGTTCTAAATGGTCATAATGATATTTTCTGTCCAAACGCAACACTAAGTAACTGTTTTAAGTTTTCAACATTGCAAGTTAACTAACTCCTATTTAATATGTATTTTATTTGTATTAAAAATATAGCTTCGTTTTTGCTCTCAAATGAAAATAGAAAAGTGTAATTAGAACGTTTTGCTATTATATTTCCACAGGCGTTTCAGAAAAGTTTTTCAAAAAATGAAAAATTATATTTTTTGAACCATGCAGAATCTTGGATTGAGCTACTTATTTTTTATGAACATCTTGCACATTTAGATAGGCAGCGTGAAACAAGAAACTCTGTCGAGATGGTCAAGGAAAGAGCTCGCGAGCTTATGATCGTCGGGAATAAGGAAAGAGTGAGAAAGGGGGAGAAATGGATAAGAAAAGAGATTTTAAACGAACTTAATGATTTCGACGACTGCAGTGTCATTTAATTCGATTATTAACTAACAAGCTGTTGCTCACGACTTCGTCCACGTGTAGTTAAAAATAGTAAAATGCTTAGTCTATGTCCACAGTGATAACATAGCTTTTAATGGTGAAAGAATTTTTGTAATCAGTTCTGTAGTTTTTGAGTAATTTTAATACATGCAAAAATCCAAATTTTCCATTTTTATAATATTAGTGTAGATATCAGCGGGAGTTATAATTAAGGCTATTATATGTTCAAGTATTGATTTGGTTAGTTTTGTTTGTTGTCCGAAAAACCATTTGTTGCCCGAAATTGTCCGCGCGGAGTTAAGAAAAAATACTTTAGTAAGAATACATCTGTGCATTTCACTTAAATCCATTATGCTGTTACAGTTAGTTACAAACATCCATCTATTTAAACTTTTGCATTTATAATATTAGTCGGAGGTCGTTGTATAATGTAGTTAAAATTATAAATAAATACCTTTTGAAAACAATTATTTACGCTTAGTTCAGTTACATGACAAATTTGCATTAAATATTTATGTAGATAAAAACGCGTCATGGGAAAGATTGTTTTTTTTTTTTATAACATGAATAAATGACTTCAAAACGGTAACAATGAACAACCAAAATTCATTTTATTAAACGTGCAAATCTTTTTGTTTTGTGTTTATTTTTATATTTTTCGAGTATCCATTGTTTTAAACTTGCCAGATATAATCAGAGACCTCTTCTCTTTTCATATACTTACCTAACTTTTTTTATTTACTAACAACATTAACATAATTACAGCTTAAATGAGTGTTGTATTTTAGTTTCAAATCTTACTAGTTAATAATATGCTCGTAAATGCAATCGGATGAATGGTTGGATATTAGAGTTTGCAGCTAAAAATGCTGAACGGACCGGAACGGAGCATAAACTGGAAAAACACGTAGGCTACTAATTTGTTTGTATTTTTTATTCCATGCGGAGGGAGTAGCGGGCGAAAACTAGTAATTGTGATAATTTCAAGATTCATTAACAGCAGACAATGCTACGAAAACACTTAATCTTCTAAGCTTAACCTCGATCTTAGGTAATTTTAATTTTTGCCAGTAAACGGGATAATAAAAAAACTTTAGTTATAATCGGTGTACAAAAACTCCGAAATTCCGAAAAGCGTGTACAAAAGATTTAAAACTGGTTTAAATTTATTATTGAAGATTAGAGTGGGCGCACACCTTTGACTGTACTATCTCAAAATTGGTGTGAGATTGTCGTTTGTTTCGCAGCCAATTCAACTATTTAGTTGCACAACGAAATACCGAGTAATATGGGCACTTCCATCTATGTTTATAGGAATCAAAGCGAAACTAAACAAATTGTACAATAGTTTTGTTTCAAGTGTGCGCACGCGTTTATACATTCTTTAGTATAGTTATGTTTTTGTGATCATCGTATTTTTATTTCATGACTCCTCCTTTGGGAATCACTGGATTTTAAGGTGGATTCCTCTACAATTTTAAACACTGCACATTCCACTGCTATAGTTATTGTTTACTTTTTTATATGTCAAAGACAAACGTTAACTTCAATAAGAATTAAGAATGTACTAAAAAACAAACTAAACAAGCACGTGAAATTAAGACAACAATGAGTGTCACGTGCAGGTTCACGTGACAAGTTTTTAACATATGTATTTGATAAAAGGTTCAGTTAAATATTTCAATTGGTTTCTGACAACTGCAGTTTAGTTTGATAAAAAAAAAACCAGAGACTTCGCTAGTTTTAGAATAATTTCTATATTTTTTTGATTCAAAAAATCTCCTACTATTATTATATAAAGAGAAAATGTTTTTTGGTTTTTTCGAATTAACTCAAAACTACTGTTCCGATTACAAAAATTCTTTCACCATGTAGCTGTATTTAATTATTCCACGCGGACAAAGTCGCGAATAACAGCTACATAAGTTAAAAATGTACTATTATTGTGAAAAGTTTCATTAAAATCTTTCTATCTATATGATATATGATGTATTTACGTTGCTGATAACAAAAATCAAATGTAAAAATGTTTGTTTGTCTGTCTGTCCGCAAGCCGAGTTTGTTCCGGGTAATCTCCCACACGGTTGGGCTGATTTCGAGGTGACTTTCACGGGCATATTATAGCCTACTTTTTTATCTAAATATTGCGTGGACGAAGTCGCGGGCAACAACTAGTAAAACAATATTTGCGTATTAAAAATAATCTTGTTTCATGTAATTTGAAACAATCTATCTATTGCCGGATGTTTATGAATATTAAATTCCTTAATGTTCGTATTGGCATTGATCACACGTATTTGCATATTAAGATATTATGTCATATTAGGCCTTTATCTGTCATTTAATAATTGATAGTGGTAGTGCCCACTTTAACATCTTGGCACGAATAGGCTGTCACGAACGGTGTAATACCACGACCACGCAGAAGATAGGGGTAAAGTGGAAGTAATTCCGTGTTTCGTCTGATGAGTGTGGTGCCGGAGGCCTAATTCGAGTCCCTTACTCCTTACCACCCTTTTCTCATAAGGAGAGGATGGGAAGGGTAAGTGGATTTGACAGTGGAAGAGATGCATAGGAAGAGGAAATATCCTCTTTATGAGCGTCTCCTCCTCCGTCGGATAAGGGTAGGCAACGCATCTGCAATTTCGGATGTCTTTGGGCAGCGGTAGGTTCGCCATTATGGCGGATTCGGGTGGCCGCTTGCTCGTTTGCCACCTTATGTTGTAAAAAAATAAACCTTTTGCCAAAAAGTTTTTATAGAAAAATTGCATCGATCAAAAGTAAATAACGTTTAACGTTTATCTTTATACATTTTCGATCTATGTTTACATTTAAAAATGTCCTTGTCAACTATTTTATATTCGTTGAATAAATAACACTGTTACCTTTGATAGGGGTCATCGGAGTTTTAAATCATGTTTTAAATTCAACTTCCGGGTATCTGGCTTCTGAACATCATCGGAATAGATTTCATAGTAGACGATTTCCATAAACGTGAATAATTTAAAGGTCAACGATATTGTGCATTATATAAGATATTTAAAAATACCTACTTCCTTCTATATAATAAAACGGTTTAGGCAGCGTAAGCCGAGAATAATTATAATTAAGATTTTTTAACGCCGCGGTCCCGAAATACGCTCTTTATTAATAAATAGCTGTTCCCGTGCTACTTCATTCGCATAAAATTATGAAAATTTTATTTTGTTGTTTACATGTGTCAAATTATCAATTGCAAATGTCAAAGTGACACGACATTACGATAAACCATGGCAACCTTGCTTCTTTGATGTTGGCAGCAACTTATAGTCTCATACCCACATTAGGGTTTTTATCCAAAATATTTACCCCCTAATTTTAATAGTGTGAAAATATTAAGCCTAAAGCGTGACGTTAGTGTAGGGCTTTTTGCTAAAAAAATAATGATTCAAAAACTTACTGTAATTCCTGACATCTTAGGCAACAAATAAGTGTGTTTTTACGCTTTATTATAATAGTATAGATTCCTTAACATTAGAAATAATCAAATATAGCTATGTTACTTATAGATAAATTACCTATCTAACGGTGAAACAATTTTTAAAATCGGCCCAGTAGTTTTTGAGTTATTTCAATACATACAAAAATACTAAAATACAAATCGTTCCTCTTTATAACATTTGGATAGATATAGACTAGTATGGATTATTTCTGACGTAGAAGGTATTGGGGAAGCCCCATATGTGCGATAGCCAATTGTTTCAAGCCTATTCAACTGTTTACTTGCACAACTAAAATCGAGTAATTTGCGAAACTCCAAATAAGTTCATAGGAATCAAAACGTTACTAAACAATTGTGCGATAGTCTAGTCAAAGGTGTGCGCGCGCTCTTAAATGATGTTTAAGTAATCTGCCGTAAATAAGGTATTCGACAAAATATGGAAAACAAACTTTTTCTTCACATTTGAGGCCAAGTTCAAGGGTGTGTAAAATTAGGTCTTGATCACATATCCACTTATAAAACTTTAAACCAGATTAAACTACTATCTGACCTTGCAATTCATTCGTTTTTTCTACTTTTAATCAATATCACAATATATAGAAGCATGTTGGTGCAAATTAATTTATAATTACTTTAAGAAACATCCTCGATTGTGTTAATTGTTTCAGTATAATTATATACAAGAACAATTGCTAGTATTCTTGTACTGTCTTAATGTCGATAGCATGTATGTGGTGAGAGTACAAACCGTTGTCTTCGTAAAAAAACCAAGATAACTTAATAGGTTATATTAAAACCTTTATGAAGTTATAGATAATATGACCGGAGTAACATCTTACTAATATTATAAATATGAAAGTTTAAATGGATGGATGTTTGATAGAGTTTGTAGCCTGTAGGTATAAATGTCTCTACATATCCTCTGATAGTCTGGAAGAAGACATAAGCTACCTAGTTTTGTTGTAATTCCACATTGACGGAGTCTCGGGTGAATATAATTAGAATATAATAGAATAAGATTAGGGCCTATCTTTAATTGATGAAGGAGGCGTAGGAGACGCGTGTTCAATCTGCCGTTTTTTCGATTGCCACCTTATCATACAAAAAAATTAAAATCCTAGTCTAAAATATTCTTAGGATAATTCTGCGTTCATTTCATGTATAAGTAAAGACAATGAAATCATCATAATGTATTATGCAACGTAGAACATGCTAGATAAAGTGCCTACTAGGTTCATTAATTTTGATTAATTTAGCGATCAGAAAAGATAGGGATGGGCACAAAAAGACTTAATTGCTAGTGTTGATCTGACGTAGGTATTATGAATATCCCCACCAACGGTTCCCGCCTTGTCGTGGCGGTGGGGCTCAGTAGCCGC